GGGAGGAACAGGGCGGCCCCTAAGCCCTGATCCTCCGAGTGGACCACATGCCCTGAACCTGTACGAAGGCGCCAACCTGGAACTCGCGGACAGTACCAGCAGCAGTGCTTACCGATTAAGCTAAGGTTCTGTTGGTACTTTACGACGGGAAATTAAATCTCTTATAGTGAATAATTGAACTCATTCGTTAAAAACCAAAAAGACACCAGCAGGATTCGAACCCGGGACCCCGCTAACCGTGGACGACGAATCGTAACCACTCGGCCATTTCGTTACCTTAGAATGTTCCTTAAACTGAGAAAAGTTGTCTTTACAGGTGAGCAAACGCGCCAGGAAGATTACTGGGTCCATTTGCTTTACCCTAATGGGTAAAAACAAGTCGATATAATGAGCCCAGTGTGTTTGGTTTGTTAGGAAGCTGCATAACACAGCCTAATGTGCAAAACAGTCGTGTGCTAGGCGGATCATTACGCAACAATGAACACCGCAATTGTGTATTTTCAAAAGGCAGACGCGTAGATTTCTACTATTTGTATCTGGGCACGTATAGATTCTCACCTCCCTCTTCAGCTATTTCGACTTTCTTAAAAAGCAAAATAGAGACTGTCAGCGAATCTCCGGGAGTTGAAATAAGGATCGTCCCCTCGATAGACCTCAGACTCAGTAAAGTTCAACATTGGGCTCTTTTTCAACAGCTGTTTTTGTGGAAACTTTACATCTGGATTTTTTAGAAGCATCTGATTTTTCCCAAAAAATATGCTCCAAATTTTGCTAAAAAAGCAAGGTTAACCCCTTACCATTTTAGACTTTTCATACAAATCTGATTTTGCCGAATTTTACTAAATATACAAGGTATACCTCTTACAATTTAAAATTTTTCATAAACATTTCTTTTTGCCCAATTTTGCTAGAAATACAGGGTTAAGCCCTAACAATCTGCAATTTTCCAGAATCATCTCATTGTGTCCTATTTTGCTTTAAAAAAATTAATGCAAGGTTAACCCCTTACAATCTGACATTTTTTTCATGAACATCTAATTTTTCCCAATCGTATTTAAAAAGCAAGGTTAACCCTTACAATCTGCAATTTTCCAGAAACATCACATTTTTTTCCCAATGTCGCTTAAAAAATGCAAGGTTAACCCCTTATAATTTGAAATTTTTCATAAACATCTAACTTTGCCAAATTTCAATAAAAAAGCAAGGATAATCCCTTACATCTGAAATTTTTCGGAAACATCTGATTTTGCCCAATTTCGCTAAAATATGCAATGTTCACCCCTTACAATTTGAAATTTTTCATAAACATCTAACCCCATACAATCTGCAATTTTCCAGAAACATCTGATTTTTCCCGATTTTGCTAAAAAAAAATGCAAGGTTAACTCCTTACAATTTGATTTTTTTTCAAAAACATCTAATTTTGCCCAATTTTACATCTGGAATTTTTCAAACAAATTATCAGGTAACTGGATCATTAAACGGGACAGGTGCACATCGGCCTTGGAGCTCAGACCATGTGTCATGCACTCCTCAATGCATAGATGATGCCCATAACACTATGGGTACAGGCACAGCTGGGGGTACTGCCCAAACAATGATGAACGCATTGCGTATGCTTAAAGAATTACCCACAATTCCGGTTTTTACCGTGTAGGTCTGGCTCTAATCACTTTTACGCGATCCCCTGACGTCTCATACACTGACTTTAGGCAAAATAGTCAGACTTTCGCGGTCTAGTAACCAGACTTTGACTCTTAACGAAACATCGAATGAAAAGTGAAACATCAAATGCATATTGCAAAAGATCGAATGCAAACATACCGTACCGATGAAACATCGAATACAAATAGCTCGAAATGTCAAACATATGTGTAAAACATTGCTCACATATTTGAGAATATCGCAAATATATTGTAAAACAACACACACAATTGTATCGAAAAACATCGCACATTTAATGCAAAAAATCGAACATAATATTGAAAACATCGCACATATATATCGTCAAAAACATCGCACATATCTATTGAAAATCGCATATAAATGTAAAACATCGCACACATATATTGAACATCGCACATATATTGTAAAACATCGCACAAATATATTAAACATCGCGCAAATAATGAAAAACATCGCACACTTATATTGAACATCGCACATAAATGTAAAAGATAACAAACACATATTGAACATCCAACATATATATTGCAAAATATTGAATATTGCAACGTTTGACATAGTCTGGTTCCCAGACCAAAAGATTCCGACTATTCCTGATGAATCTTAGGTCAGGTAGCCTCCGGTAATTAATACAATGTATTACAATTTACATCACGTGACTAAAACGGGAGGAATTCCTCCTTTTTCCGAAACTGTCCGAAGTTTGCCGAATTCATTTCGTCGACAATAGGATAGTGTCCGAGTATTTCCGAGTATAATATATGTTTTATTAACTGCTAATTGCTTATTAAAAACTTTAAAAAAACTAGTTGATAATTAATATCCATTGCTTTTATTTAGAAAACTTGAAATTCAACGACGATTTTGCACTCGGATCGTATACGGAGGGGCGAACTTTTTGCTGCGTCATGCACAAGTTTGAATTTGACGACCGTTACCGGCATTTTCCAAAACGCGGCGTGGTCTCAATTCGGCTCCGCCTGCTAACAGTGCTGTTTGGGTGTCCAACTTTGAAGATTCCAGGTTAAAATTAGTCAATGTTTTTTTACAGAAGTATTAAACTGTATATCATAACTGTATGATATATGAAGCAAGTGATTTTTTTTTTTTTTAATTATCGGAACATTAAAAGCTTTATGTGATAAAGCGAATTCGGAAACGAAGTTGAGCTTTGAAAAAGGGCCGTCAATGTCGTCATGTTTATTTTTAGCCACGGAGGCTGCCTGACCTACAATTTAGACGTGTAGACGTCGGGGGAAATTGTCAGGTCGGGGAACCAGACTACGTTTGACACGCCATAGGAGGAAAGCCTCCTAATGCATCCTGGATTCACTGCTAGGTACCTTTCCCCATATTTGAAGTCTGAAGGACAATGGGGACAAGGAGCCAGACTAGAAGAGAGACTGGATATTATCTGATGCATGGGGGCGCTGTTCAATGAGGACAGAACTGCATCGCCTACACAAAAGGTGGCGCTATTCGTATGGCGGGATATTTTGCTCATAGTGACACGAGTTTGCTGGGAAAACGATGATTTTGCCGTCAACGACATACTTATGTGTGGGAATGGGTTGTCACACTTGTAGGAAAAAATTCCCGGATAAGTTAAGGGCACATTAAGAAGAAAATGTTAGATTAGTTTTGGGAAAGTTTGGTACTTTTTCCACAACACTAACATTGCATATCTTCATGGATTCCTATTTTAATGATTTAAAATTCTGGAATTGACGATTTCTAGAGAGGGCCTATAGCTAAGCACCTTTCTTCCCGCTTCATATACAGCGGCGCTGAAGGAACAATGATGTGAATTCTCACATTCTTCTCGTACTTTTTGGTAATTTTAAGTTAATTTTTTTAATGGGGCTTGGCACCGTGAGGGTGAGTATTGGGGAAAGTACCCATTTGACTGTCCGGCCCACACGAAGGGAAGACATTTTCTGTGCGGTAGGTAGCCATTTTTTTGCTCCAACTGACTTAAGTCCCGTTTAAAATTATCTCCTCTAAGGTAGGACGACGAACCGTGCAAGGGAACTGCAGCTGAACATTCTAAAAGCGGGGTGGGGGAAGGAGAGGGGGCTGAACATCATATGAAGCATAGGGGGCGCTTCAATGCTACACTACCAGACAACACAGGGGCGGCTCCAGGAGGGGGGGGGGGGTTGGGGGTGTTGCAGGCATGTGTTCCCTTTTTTCAAAATGACTTTTCTAATTTTTATTTTGGTGGTAAGGGTGGTAGCCCCTCCCTAGCGGCGTAGCTAAGGGGGGGGGGGGGGGGGGGCTAACGCCCCCTATAAAAAGTCGGCGCCCCCCCCCCAAAAAAAAAAACCATCGCCAGCCTTTTTTCACGACCACATTTTGTTACACGAGTGCCCCTGTTTGAAGTCTCGCCAACATATTTAATTGCTTTTGGATTTTACGGAGGCCGGGTGACCGTTGAAAAAAAGCTGTATACTTTTTAACACGGACGCAATTTTTTTTTTGCGTCCCCATTGTAACACCACGCGACCCCCCTTTGATGAGAACGCAGGCTACGCCGTTGCCTCCCCCCCCCCCCCCCCTCCATGTTGACCCGTATCCGCTACTGCAACATGTAACGGTAGGTGGCGCTATATTCATGACATTTGTGCCTGAACATTACATAATTTCTGATTAATTTGGGAATTATTCCCTCGAAGAGATTAATTTGACGGTTCGTATATGCTGACGGGGGAAAAGTCAGTGGAGGTTGTAACACCCAATATCTCCCTGTCTTATCAAATTTACAGAATCCACAAGACACAAACAGACAACAAGAGCTATAACTTATCCAGTCGTGTACTCTTAATTGATTGCATAACTGTGTAAAGAGGGGTATTTATTTACACCAGACATGTCATTTCTATTCACCTCTTACGAAACACAAACACAAAATGTAAAACTGATGTTACACTTCACAGAGACTTTGCAAGTCAGCCATCTTGGAGGTGCAGTTGTTTTCTTCTACAGGGATGCACACGAGCAGACCCTCCGACCTATTGTGCATGCACTGTTGCTCAAAAAACAACAACAACAACAACAACAACAACACACCTCTTTACGTTCACGTTGTCATGCAAATACAAGCAGAACTAGCACAGCCTATACTACAAACACAATAATAATTGTACACTTTATAATTTCAAATATGTACAGATTTGAATATTCTAAATATCATACAATGATGACCCAAAAATACGATTTTTTTTTACATTTTGTTTTATATTACACACATGTGTGTTTTGATTTTTGAAGTTCATTTTAATATACCTTTATCATGCTGCCACCATTTCAGTCATGTTCCCTGTTTCCAATAACAGTACTGAATGATAATGCTTTTTGTGCAAAAAGGAACCAGACTATTTTTCATTCCAGTCTCGTTTTGGTTTAAATGGGGAAAAATCAAGATGGCCGCAATATGATGATGGTATATTGTCAAACGACTTAGAATCATTTCATACGTACATTAACTATAGTAATATTCACATGTCCTTTTAAAACATAACAAAAAAATACTTGGTCTTGGGTATTTGTTCAAAAAGTATCTTACTTAATATATACAACCTATACAATTTAGAAACCCGAGACCCAACTTGAAAATGCTCCAAGCCAGATCAGCGGTCGTGCTGATTCTCATACATCAAAGTTTGTCATATGCTTTAAAAATGGAAATAAAGTTGAGTTAGGAGATTCGTTTTTTTTCCAATCCCAAAACGTAAACATGTTACTCACGATTTTTTAGCAGTTACGTATCACTCCTAAACTAGGAGCTTCGTCAGACTGGCAACCATGACGACCAAGAAAGGGCATAAAAGGCAGTCGAGCATTGGACATGGTTGCCAGTCTGGCGAAGCTCCTAGTTTAGGAGTGAAACATAATTACTAAAAAATCGTGAGTAACATCTTCACGTTTTTGGATTGGAAAAAAAATAATCTCTAACTCATGTTTTGCCAACAATCCAGATGGAAATATAGTTATTCACTTAATCTACGCCAGACTTGCAAAATTCATTCCTTCAATGCATTTAGTTCCAACATTGTATATTAAAGTTACTCGTGTCAAGGTTTGAGTCTGTCTTTTTATTTCAGATGTGTGACAATTCCACTTCAACTCAAATATGTATTGGGATCTTCTGGGATTTCACATTTCAACCTTGTAAAACAGAAGATCTCAGAGAGGTATAACCTAAGATGATTAACTTCAGTCTACTTCCCGATTTTCCTAACATAGACTACGAAGAATAATTAGCCTGCCATGCATGGGTGTATTGAGTAGTCTTAAGTGTGGTGATTCGTATGTAAGATGTCAAAATCGTCTCTCTCCTTGAACTCGATAGCCAGGCAGAGACCGAGTGCCGACACCAGCAGCGTGATGGTCTCGATGTTCCGTACCGGCGGATGCTCGTTGCAGTAGGCTAGGATCTGATCACAGAACGCGTCGCAGTTCCCTTCCCGGCCTCCGAGACGCATCTCACCGACGTGGCGCCGGAATCGGACCCAGAGCCCGTTCAGATCCAGCCCGCCCACGGCCACCAGCGGCAGAAGCAGGAACATGCTGATCTCGGACCAGATGAGAAGGTCTAGCTCCTTATTGGTTTGGAAAGGCTGCGTTGTCTGGTTGTGCCTGCTGTCGTAGGTGGCGTAGTCGTAATAGACCTGGGTTGCAATGGACCACGTGGCTACGGCAATGCTGAACATGATCCAGATGGTAGACAGGCTGCCCAAGCTGCCAAAATCTTCCATGAAGAGCGTCAGTCGCCGACGGCATCGGCCCAAGATGCCTCTGTGCTTCCGGAGGAACGCCAACTCCATCTCAAACTGCCTCTGGAAGGAGAGCCGCATCAGGACCACGAGGTAACAGAAGGCGCCCCAGATCTGCATACCGACGGTGCAAGACACCAGGGAGATGTTGATGATCGGACTATGTATGTACTCAAAGGGAACGTAGTATACCACAACCCTCCATAAGCTGTTGAAGAGCGGCCAGACCAAGCAGACCAGCAGGAAGGCCTTGTAAGGCAGACCTCGTTCCCTCAGATCCAGGTGCTGAAGCCGCTTAATGATGTACTGGATGCCGAGGGCGTTGGTCCAGGCGTAACTCCGACACTGCCTCTGCCAATCACGGAGCATGTTGGTGACATTGGCGGCAAGACAAAGGACTGGGACATGGACGACAAAGAGCATGAAGCCGGAGTAGATGACTAGGTCAACTTTCCGGTCGTCGTTGCCCCAGTAATTTACGAGGTAGGGCAGGAAGGCGACCATGTTGGGGACGATCACGAGGATGAGCCAAATCACAGAGAGGGCGGCGCTACCACGGTGGTTCCATCTTGTGACGCCTGAATTGGACAAACGAAATGAAAAATCTCAATTTCATAGGCATCGTAAAATACAATATAACGAGCGTAATGCTTCATGTCCTTTCATGTCCTGTCGCCTATTCATATCTCGTCTTGGATCGTCTAAACATGTCTCGGCCGCATTCCATCTCGTCTCCCTTGCTTCGTCATTTCTCACCCTTCGTCTATAGCCGAACCTCTTTTTGGGTTTTTTTCTGTCTCATTTCTTGTTTTAATTCCAACAATTACGGTTAAACCAAGTTTTCTTTGTTCGGTTTCATTCGCTTTTGTTATTTAAAGAGTGCAGTAAATAGCTGAAGGAAGTATATAAGTTAATGTAAAACATTCCAATGCTTTGAGCACTATTATTAAAAAACGTGTTAACACAGCAGGTCACGGCACACTCTCAGAACCAGTGTTGTTCGACTCGAGTCCAGGACTCGGACTCGAGTCACATTCTTCGTGACTCGGACTCGACCATGGTGACTCGGACTCGACCATGGTGACTCGTTACTCAAGTCACGTATTTTCATCAAACGAAAAAAAAACACCATAATGTATAGGGATGGGAAAGGATCATTGAGGAATAATGTTTGGATGATAAAACATGGAGGGAAGGGATGGAGGAGGGTTTTTTTTAGGGACGGGAATTAAAAGGAAAACACATGTTGGGTCTAAACAACATGTACACACACAAGGTAAACTATATACACTGGGATTTATTTAAAAGACAGAATGGATGATTAAAAAATAATTTTAAAAACAATTTAATTAGTTGGGTGAACAACTAAGAACAAGTGACTCGTGACTCCAACTCGGACTCGAGGCTTGTGACTCGAGACTCGGACTCGGACTCGAGGCTTGTGACTCGGGGCTGGGACTCGAACTCGAGGCTTGTGACTCGGGGCTCGGACTCGAGGCTTGTGACTCGGGACTCGGACTCGAACTCGAGGATTGTGACTCGGGAATCGGAATCGGACTCGAGGCTTGTGACTCGTGACTCGGACTCGGACTCGAGGCTTGTGACTCGGGAATCGGACTCGAGGCTTGTGACTCGGGACTCGGACTCGAGGCTTGTGACTCGTGACTCGGACTCGACGTTGATGACTCGACAACACTGCTCAGAACACGCCCTCTGTTCTTCGTTCGACTCCTATCTTTTAAAAATAAACAGTTTCTATCTGAGGGAATCGAAAGCTAAGGACCGGTGATCATCTTACAGTACTCCATTGTTGCTTTTTATGATCTCGGTGTTCACCCAGATACGCAAACCGAGATGGTCTTAAATTGATTTAGGGGAAACACGCGCTCAGAATCCGGAAAGTTTTATTTTCATATACATGTATTGCGTTTAGTTTCAGTTCACAAGGGAAACATTTGATACTCAGTGTGCTTCAGTTTTTGATCAAAAGACACTGACATGAGATGTGTAGTCACTTCAATATCGCAACAAGGAAGAGTAGTTACAATTTTATTGTTTCAGTGTTCGTTGTAGGGCATATTATGTTGTCTATAAAAAGTAAACATGCGGTTGAGAACTGCCTACTAAACACAAAGGGTGATTGCGATGCATTTCCTTGTACAGTGTTAGTCAAACAAAAGTGGTTTTCAATTCGTGTCAAGGTTCAAATCAGGATGAATGTGCACGACGATTAATAAGACTATTATAATATGTCGAGTGGGAAAAAACTGGGGAAAGTGGATGCATTTCCGCAAGAACGATCCTATGCGCTGAGACCAAATGTGGTTAGACGGCAGCTTACGTTTAAAAAGATCAAAATTTTAGATGCGAATGTTGACACATTCAAGGCAAAAAGAAGATACATTTAAAAAGCTATAGCAAATTTAAAATGAGTAGCTTGCAGTATTTATTAAGAGGAAGATTTAGATTGAATTATTCAGCCAATGATTAAAAAACAATCACAAAAATTTGTAATGTTGAACTCGCATAAAAGAAAACTTGATGTCAATTTAAAATACCATGTATATACAATTAAACAATTACCACAAAAAATAGTACAACAATATAAAAACAATAACAATCTACATACACATTTTATCAATGAAAAGTTCCAAATGTCAAAAACCCACATAGCTGATGGTATAAAACTATTTGTGAAACGGTTGGTTTATGCATTCACAATTTATAAATTAAACATTACCAATGTTAAAATCCCGCACGGCCGACGGTATAAAACTATTTCTGAAACGGTTGGGGTTTTTTTGCGCCTATTAATCTCATCCTTCTTCCTGAAGGCATCATGTGGAAGAACTCATTTGTTGGGTGATGCATATCATTAACAATATTTTCGACGCGCTTCCTCATTCTCTCATCCTAAATTGTCTTCATGTCATCCAACTTAACTTCAAATATGTACGACGCGTTTTTTTTAAAATAAACTGGAACGAAGTTCTGTCAATTCAAGTGAATTCTCCTGACATTATAAGTTAGATTAGATTAGATCAAGTTAAGTTAAGTTAGATTAGATTAGATTTAATTAGATTGAAAATATCAGAACAATCCTTTTTTAAGGGAAAGGCCTATATTTTATGCCTATTTTTGATGAAGCTCTTTAAATGCTGACTTCATTTTCTTTAATGGAAATAATGGGGTGCGAAACTACAGAGGCAATGTACCTTCTTGAGTTTGTCTACCAATGTTGGAAACAAAGGTCATGTGCGGCACCCTTTCTCTGTGGCGAAAAACGTATAGGGCCTACAGATTCAACATCGATAAATGTGGACTCCTCTTATTAATAATTCTTGCTTCTTATTTGAAAGTGTTTGTTTTGTATGTGAAGTACAGATCCAAGAAGCCATTCAGCCTGCTAAAGGTTGGTAAAAAAAACATAACTGTCAACCTACCAATGTCTTCTTCGGTGTAAGGCCGGTATCGTCCATAGGCGTCCCACCATTCGCTTCGGCACACCAGACATGGGTCATCACGAACCAGGAAACCCGTCTCCTCTTCACCGTTGCCCGCTTCTTCACGGACCGTGGGTTGGGCGTTGATCGCGCGGGGCTCTCCACCCTCCGGACCCTCCTCGTCTTCCGAGGGACAGGCCCCCGGATACAGGTACTCCGGCACCCCTTCCCCTCTGATCACGCACCGCATCTCGGCAGCGGTGAGCCGGCACTGGAGGCACTGCCTCCGCCTGGCCACCGCGGGCCGGTGGTTGTACAAGCCGATCAGCTTCAGCAGAAGCCAGATGAACCACGGCCAGCGGGATGGTTTGGCAGCGAGTTTGCGGTCATCTCGGGCGGCCGGCCCCGAGTCGCTTCTCTCCAACAGTTCGTGGTCGGCTGTCCCGCTATACCAAGGGTACGCGGACTCCGAGTCGAGGAGACGCTGGTTGCCGCGTGAAGCCGTCGACATGCTGCCGATGAATGACGCGCAGTAAGATCGAGCTACTTGGATGAGTGAAAACGAAACTGGAACCTTTAAGAGCCAGAGCAGTTTGATCTCCTAGTGAAAGTTGCAATCTTCACGAATGTGGTGAAAGGTTGCCAGCTTGTATATAGGCCTGTGCCAGCAGTGGTTTGCTGTCAGATGTTTAGTACAATTTGTATGTATATACGAAACTATTGCTGTCAAAGCGATCACAAATTCTGCTTATAACAAAGGTGACTGGTGAGTTGTTGGCCCACTCACACTCCACGGATGAAATGAAGGCACAAATGATTGCTGCTTGTTTAAACCTACCCAAATAAACCACTGACCACAATTCGCCCTTTCAATCGAATCATCATTAAAACTATGTATTTGGCAACGCGTCCCACGGAGTTTCCTGGTCGTGTTTTCCAAGTTCGTGAGCTTTGGGTCAACAATGAAAAGGCAAGAATCAACGGGGCACCAGTCTAGGAAGATGATTCCTTTATTAAACCGGAAATGCAAGTGGAATAGAATTATTTATATAAAGCGATCGGAAGTTCTGCTCAAAATGTGTCATTATTAGCTTTTCGCTGTTCCTCATTCATCACTGATGCCCGCGTCTGCTATTCTTTAGTCGCACGCACGCCGGGAACCATCCCAGCGATAAGGACTGGACCGGGCAAGTTAAACCATTGTTTTGACTTCCCTGTGAAAAGAGGAACTTGAAGCTGAAAAATAAACACTTCATCGTATAATGACAACGACTTCCAAAACAATTAACTAGGGCCTCATCTTACTCGAGACTTCCGGGTTCGCTGATCACAAAATAAATACTGCATACAGTGAATCATAAATTTAAACAATAATATTAATACCGTACTTCTTTTTGCTATCGAAAGAAAAACATCTTTAAAAGGGGAACAAAAGTTAAAACAATAAATATTCCATTTCCTCATCCATTAGGCCAAAAAAAAAGTCTCCGGTTTCTGGTATGGAGCTTGCCCAAAAAGTGGTGCGGCGACGCGGCTTCTTTTTTTTTTTTACCTGTTTTTTTTGCTTCAAATGTCGGCTGATGACTGCAAATGGTGCCCGACTAAACTTAGTGCAAATATAATGGGAGTCCAGAGAGGCCACATAAAGCTTATTTTCGATCATAACCCCATCTAAAAACACGTTAAAACTGTGCAGCAGCAGGATTCCAGTCAAACCAGTGAGTTTGGCGGTTTTGAGACATCATCTTTTATTGAAAAAAAAAAACGTTTTCATTTTGCCGACGCGCATGGCTACGGCGACGCGCGCGCATACCAGAAACCGGAGACTTTTTTTTGGGCCTTAGTACTGATAACAAAATGGAGGTCACGGACTGAGTACTTTTTCGTTCATAGATGTATAATAATATTCTGACACACAATATTTCAACCACTTGACCACGGTACTTCGAAGAGACACCGTTTGGCCGTAGCAAGCATTGCGGTTGACAAATCTGCTCAAGATGAAAACAAGTGCGAGTGTACAATAAGCTCTGGCCGTCTTGCACGAAAGTCTTGCATGAAATCCATCCAAATCCCCGCCCGAGCTGAAAAATGCGACGCCCAAATGTGACGCCGACGGGTTCATGGAACTCCATATTTTAGATAGATTTATAGTGACTTCACTGCAAATATTAGGCCACCATTTACAAACTTTTTTTTCTCAATTAACAAACGTCTTTCCCAATTGTTACAAACAATTTTGCTCAGTATTTTATTTATTTTGGTTGCTTTTTTTTTTTAATTAAAAGTTGGTAGTTACATTTTGTTGGAAGCTTATGGGGTCATATTTTGGTCCATTTTGATCAATTTTCCGGGGATAGCCCGACCGACTACCAAGCTTCGTAGAAGCTCCTGCCATGGCCAGATCTTAAAAAAGTGTGGCCTCCCGGATTTGCGGTGTATTGCGAGAGGTGGCGCCCCCTTCCCCGCCTTGAGGCCTGTGCCCCCTTGATGTCACAAACCTCAGAATTTGGATTGAATGTATACTTTTTACGGAATGCCCCGTCCAAAAATGCCAAACAGCGGGCCCATTGGCAGCTATGAAACGTAAGCCCCATGGCCGTATCTCCTAGTACAAACTAAAGAATGCGATCAAGTTAAATGAGTCTTTTCTCGGGAATTTTTATTTGGAGATTAAAACCAAAATAGGGCCACTTCATCACCTCACTTCGTCACATCTCTTAGTGTTCAGACGTCTTTAATTTGTGAACTAAAGATGGTTACAGCATGCGGTTTTTCACAGCAGTAATGCTGAGATTGTGCTCTTGTCAAATCTGTTATAAAAAAAAACATTGACCAGGGTCGACAAACGACCCATTTAGCTTGATCGCATCACCTATTTTCAACAAACACAAGATATAAAACTTTTTACACGTAGGAAGTCCTTCAAATCGCTACTTCTGCCATTGCTTTATCGGAGTCTTTTCTTATTAAAAGGCACCTAGCATCAATTTGCATTCATCTCAAAAATTACCTACACCGGTACCGAATTCTTATGAAAAATATAGGGTTCGTACAATGTACCTGTACTAAAACCCCATTTTATCCGTCTTGCTTGCTGTCATTTCGAAGAAATCAATAAACGTGGGTGATTTCCAACGATATCGGTCGATTGATGACTGATAAAAAAAACCCACAAAGACTGCTATTGACGAAATTGGGTTAGATTAAAAGGTAGTGCATGGTTTTCACTGTTTACTCGAAACGTGTAATGCCCACCGAGCGGAAACTTCAGGTTGGGTTTCAAAACATACTTCTTTGGATTCCGAGTGGTGTTACTATTAGAAACAATCAAAATGCACGAAAAGCACATTATCTTCGCTTTCGGTGGAGCGTTTAATATAATTGAGATCCAGCCCTACCTACAACACCCTACACAATGATCATTGTTGCTTTACTGTTACGGTCGAAACTGTCGAAACTTCCGCGAAATAATAAAAAATTTCCCTAAATGTTTCTCTTTGTTTGTCACGGAGGTAGCCTTGACAAAACAAAACAAGCAGACAGAATGAAAACTGTTCATAACTCTTTTATCTTTAATTGAAAAACGTAAAACGTGTCTACGGTATGTTAAACACATATTGGGAATCATTTTAAGGAAGGACGGGGAAATGATGTTATTGGTATTCTAAGATATGTTGATGATTACAGCAACCAATTTCGTTAAGCTCCAAAAAAGCTGAAAATTGGTTAGAAACAGTAATTACCGAAGCCGGAACAGGTGACAAGTTCAAGTGCTATGTGAGGGGTTCTGCTAAGCCAAAATCAATTCTAAGCAATATTGTGCCCAAATTGGCACCTGATGGAACCAATTGTTTTTGTTTTTGGAAAACCCATAAACGATTCTAATACGATCTGTATTACTTCAAGTACAAGCAAAGACACTCAAATTGCCTCTCCTATTTTTCTTCTCAATTCAAATTTTGGTTTAACAGTTTCCCCTATTCTTAATTTGCAAAACAGATAAACGGTTACATAAACAGTTTTGGGATAAAATCAAACATGATTACAAACTTATTTACATTTCTTCCCGGAAGTTAGAAAACTTGTGTTCGAAAGGGTACTCCAAAACTGTGATCTTTTGAAAACGGTCAGCCAGCATCTATGAACAAAAATTAGCCACATGTTACAGTTTTGTTAACCTGTTTTGAAGTCTATCAATGGACCATGTGACATTACTTTTTAAAACGCACAACTGAGACAAAGCCTGATGCCATGAGGTCTCAGGCCTATTACTGTAGATAAACCCTTAGATAAACCCTCGTGTCTTTTCACAAACCATATGGAGTTAAGGTTTAACAATCCTACAAAATGTTACATTTTAAATGCAGTTCGGAAAAAAAACATACAGGCTTTACGACCAAACAGCACATTTTGGGTTTTAAAGTTGAGACGGTAACCTAACCACAGTTCTTATCCTTAATCAAAACAAGGATGTGATGTGATGTTTCTCAATACACAGATTAGATTGTTTGACAACAAAACCAACTCAAACATGATTTACAAATGTCAAAACTTCATAAACCATGTACATGTACATCCGTGTATCAATGTGTAGCTAAAAATAACCGGTACAAATCTAGGAAGGAAAGTAATGAACTTTGGATCGGTTTACAAGTACATGTATCATGTCTCTGTGACAAATGACAATAGTCTTTGCCTGGGCTCACACTTCCTGAAACGGGGCCATTTTCAAAGAGCTACACTGTAGTAGATAATGGCAGATCGTTCAAGTAGTATTTGAGTAAGTCCTCACGAGTCCATCACAAATAATCCAGTTTCAAGTCAAGTTGCAAGCTGTTCAAATAAACGGTGACAAAGGTACTGCTCTAGTTATTGTTTGCTCCATGTGGCTTGGTGACCGAGGTTCAATTTCTTGGCTCTGCCTACCGTTACTCTTAGCGAAAAATCCCTGCTTACCGTAGCAGAAAATGATGTGCTTACTGTAAGTGTATGTTTACGGATTAGCGAGGAATTTCGGCTTCTGCGCATGCGTACATACAGTAACTGAGGATTCCGTGCTTACAGGGTAAGCGCGGATTTTTTTCTGCTAGCGCGGTTAGCACATAATGGTGATCGTAAGCGCGGAATTCTGTGGTAAGCAGAGCCGTGAAATTGGGCCCTGATTTGGTGATGGCCTTGTGATGGACTCAACCACAACACAGACACTAGCCACTGCAAAATAGACTGCAGTGCATTTCAATGTTTATCAAATTTGTTGGGCAGCCCGATGCCATAGACCTTATGCATTAGGGCGGAGTTAGAGGGCCATGGTTTTGTATTGCGTGGATAGGCAAGAGTACACCTTTTGTGTACTCATTGTTACTTAATTGAAATACCAAAGGATTGCCTCAGAGACACCTGTAACGCATAAGGTCTATTGGTCCGGTGTCAATAGTGCAACTGTTAACATCATTTCTGATAAATGTTTGTTATTCGAAAGAAGAGGAGGGATCATGGTGGGCGTGGCTAGGCCGTCATTTCTTCCTGTCAATCTCTATGTTCCTTGCTTCTTCTCTACCCGGGTTCTCCCACACAACAGCAATGCAACTTTTTTTTAATTCTTGAAAATCTGCAAATAAGGGGATGGGGGGGGGGGGAAACACCGATTCAATCTTTTGTACAGATCAATTCGGGCGATTCACAATGCAGAGCGCCACCAATAGTTTGCCACGGAGAGTTCCTTTTTACCCAGTGCATTGTGGGAGATGGTCGACAAATTTGAAGCGCGGGACATTTGAAATTGTTCGTTTTTCCGGTCAGTAGTTTCGTAAGCGTATGATTCGAGTATATGTTTGCCCTTTTCTTTTCTTTGTATCAATATGGTGATTTTTGGTAAGGCGGCAGAACGCTTTGCCCCAATCTATAACAAATTAGCTCAAGTTGTCTACTGACACTCATTCAAATGGGCCATATTTTGTCGACCGTAAACTAGAAAAGTTGACTCTCCATGGCAAACTCTTGGTGGCGCACTGCATTGTGAATCGCCCGAACTGATCACTACGTCAATGTTAACACCATTTTCTTGCGCCTTGAACCATGGAAACATGTAGCTAGTCTTGGAGCAAGAGGTTCTTAGCGGGATAATTCACGATAGACAGTACAGCCTTTGTACCGGGCAGTAGCATGCACGTTCCTATTCACGAACCACACACAAAGAACATCTTGGGAATTTTGCATTGCAACAGGGCATGACTTACGTTTGTAATATTCAAAATGCACAGCGTATGTGCATTGGTGGAAACAAAAGAGCTGTTCCGAAAACAATTAGTCAGGGGAAGCACCGTACACGTACAAACAGAGGCACTATGTACTAAACCGTACCGGCTGACTGTAAGGTTTGGTCGAATTATGGCCACATCCAAATTGATGAAGAGCACTGATGATAAGCCTTCCCAGGCCAGGTTTCTTTGCTGCCAAATCGACTGCTTCGTCCACACGGTCAACATTTTTTTTTTTAATCCAATGACGTTTACAGGCTTGCTTGCAAGCTGCAGTATGTACAGTTTCTGCTAGGAATTTCCCGAGCAGAAACACAAAGTTCCCAAGACGTTCTTTGCGGACTGTTGGTGAGTGTGTTTTGGGCGCCCGCTCTGGTGAATCGCTGCACAGTCTGATAACCTGTGCGCGCTGAAACCGCACCACTAAGTGCATCTTGCGCAAGACTGATTTTATTCAAACCTGTTGCGCCTCACCATCAGGCTTATGAGTTCAAACGTCTATTCCAGTGGTGTACCCTTTGCGACCATTGAGAAGGTACTTTTGCACAAGTCCATAAGAGTGTCAAATTTTTCACTAGCTTTGGCTGTTTTTTTTTCACACATTGGCATTGTTTCCAGTTTCAGGCTTCGGGCAATGGAGCTGGAGCTCCCGACAAATCCGGAGTTTCAAAAACAGCTTTTGAAAGCACCGAATGTTCACAATTTTGAGAGCGGAATATCTGATTTCTGACTAATTTTTTCAAGCCCTGTTAACCGATACAAAGTAAACCATGATTAGGATGCAGCCTACTAGCTGCTACCTGATTATCACGTAACCTTGTGATACTGTGCATCTTACCTATGAGGGTTATTCAAACGTTTCCGTCTTGTCTGCTATATATTCTACCAGGTCTTTGGGCGTGAACAACTTCTCTGCATGGTTGTCTGGAATCTCCAGGGCTGTCAACGTGGAAAACGAGACAATGAGTTGGGTAAGTTTAAACTCATAACAGTTTTCCCCTCTGTATTCACTAATCCACGTTCTGTCACAACACAAGGACAATGTTACAGGTTGTAATTGTATGGTAACTCTAACTTATAAAAGCTGTAACATTTTGTACCTACACTGGTCCTGCTCTCATTAAGTATAGACACAAGAACGGTAGTATAGGTTTTCCCAGCTATTTTAACACTTTTATCACACAAATTCCCTATATCATTACTTTAATTTCGTCCCTGATCATCGCCCAGCTCACATCTCAAATTGAATTTCAAAAAGTCACCACTAGATTTCATTTAAGGTTCAGTATAATTCAAATTTTTAGCATACCGATTCGTCCGAAATCTCTGAAATTCGTCTCGTGAAGCAATCGGCGTTGAATTGACAAAGCAAATTCGTTTTTTGTCATTCATTTTCATGTTGTTATCATTACATTTCGTTTCTGGTTACTTAAAACTTAACGATTAAAAATGTGCCCAATCTTTGGACTTTTTTAAAGAATTGTGCACGTTAATTACAGTTTTAATGTTAAGCAAATAGTTCCTTATAAATGAAAGAAGTTAGCTGTAAGTTTTGAGTTTTCTTTGACAGTTAACAATAAAATCAGAAATGGGACTTTCACAATATGCTCTTTGTTTAGCATATGGAAATTATGCATTGACATCAGACCGTGACCTTCTTAATGTTGCCCTTTGATATATGTACATGTATATGAATAAAACAACAGAAATGCGGTATATGTCTATCAAAGAGCAACATTAAGAAGACGCTTAGTGTCCATGTCATTTGAAATGTCAATTCTTGACTCTAATGTTAATTGTGAAACACAAAATAAAAATGCATACCTTATACAGCTAACAACTTTTATTTATACATATAGGGTAATGGATGTTGAAATTATCATTGTTTTAATGCGCACAATTCTTCAAATAAGTCTAAAGATTGGGCGCTTTTTCTTATCGTATGCACTTTACGTCACAAGAAACGAAATGTTATGACAACAACTTGAAAACGAATGACAAAAAACGAATTTGCTTTGTCAATTCAACGCCGATTGATTCACGAGACGAAATTCAAAGATTTTGGACGAATCGGAATGCTAACAACTTGAATTATACTGCACCTTAAATGAAATCTAGTGGTGTTTTTTGGAAATTCAAATTGAGATGGTGAGCTTGGCGATGATTGGGGACGAAATTAAAGTAATGATATAGGGAATTCGAGTGATAGAAGTGTTAAAATAGCTGTAAAACCTATAATATTGCATGTACCGTAATTTTCGGAATATAAGCCGCAGCACGCAAAATCTGCAAATTAAGATTTGAAGTCGGCGTATAAGCCGCACCGGCGTATAAGCCGCACCGACCGCAGCGGTTTCAATTTTGTAAGGCATCCAACTTCTAGACAAAATGCTCTGAACCAGTTCCATTTACATTACAGAGCTATAAAAAGGGCCACAAAAGTTATAGCAAATCATTTACAGTCGATACTCTTACAAACAAATAGGAAAATTGATGGTGAGAAATATAAAACGGGAATTGCTGGCCCGTTTTTTCTTTTTGTAAACAGTGGAAATATTGGTAATTATTGTTCCCAAGAAAGTACACCCCTTTATTATCACAAATGGTGTGGTCCATGGGGAATGCATGCAGCATGCATGCAGCACTGCACTATCGATATCACGTACGGCCGGTTAGGTTGTCGATGTCGAAGAGATCGAGACAGCTTTCACTAGCCGTACTTTTTACCGCTTGGTACCTTTTCATGGGACGTGCTTTCGGTTTGTTAATGACTTTCTTAATTGATTTATTCATTTCAGCAACAGATCTTTTCTTATACCAGTACATTAAATATATACATTTGAATATCATTTTTATTCTTCAAGGCTCGGCGTATAAGCCGCCCTGTGTATAATCCGCAGTAAACATTTTCATGGGCAAATTCAACGTATAAGCCGCAGCTTATATCCCGAAAATTACGGTAAAGCTTTTTATTGGACAGCATTTGCGCATGCATGGAAACGTAGTTCTATTTTTAAGAGATGACTTTACGTTCTCATGAAGGCCTTTTTGCTAAGATGTAGCCTCAATCCTGCAAAATCCTCAAATTAGCCTCATGGAAAAATAGCATATAGCCTCAATCCTGCAAATTCCTCCATTATTTCTTGAATATGGTCCGTGGAGGGGTGACCACTTCCTGAATCCAACAAAATCCTGCGGCAGTGACTGTCAATAAGTTGAGGCTTGGCCAGCGACATCCTAGTGCAGTACGGGGGATTTCAAGCATAATCCAGGCCTACATTTATGCATGGCTGAGCAAAAACAACACAAGGTCTGGCCCAAGATCTTGATGAAGTGCATCCTACGAAATCAGTAACGCACTTTTGTCATGTAACCTCAATCCTCCAAATTTATCCACTTTGGCAAAAAAGATTTTGAAGGAAGTCAGGTTGCAACATTCTTTCCCATGTACCTGTAGATGCTACAGGTTTGTTCAAATTATGTGTGCAAACAAAATGTGGTTACATGTAAGTATAAAAAAAAAAAGAACTGAGGATGAACCTGTGTTAACAGGAACGGAGTGCCCATCTCTCTTTCGTTAGCGATCGGGCCAAACTCATATGCGGCTGTGAGGGGATCACCACACCTCCTCCACAGCGAGTCTGTTACCTTCCCAGCATTGAATAATGCCGGTACCCACTTAACACCTGGGTTGAGAGGAGTAATTGAGGTAAAGCGCCTTACTCAAGGGCACAACAGGCATGGCTACGGCGGGGCTCAAACCCACAACCTCATGATCATGAATCCTGTGCTCCCATCAATTATGCCATGTTTGTAATTACGACTGACACCTGCACAGCTGCAGTACATGTACATGTACATGCTTTCTTCAAATATAGTCAAAAGCTGTTATTTCTCACCGAATTCATCCTCGACCGCCATGATGATTTCAACAACATCTAGACTGTCTAGACCCAGATCGTTGAGGAAATGACATTCCACGGAGAGCTGTAAAAACAGGGAAAAATAAAAACATCATTTCTGAAATGAAAGGGAAACATCGCCTTTTACGAAATGCCGATTTTGGTTTGGCTTCCAACTTCATCTCTAACCCTAATTTCATTAGAATCCTGTCATGTTCATATGAGCATTCACAGAGCATTGCCAAAGAGAATGGACCAATATAGTAACAGATTCTGTCAAGTTAGGGACTTAAATTATGAAGCTGGTAACCTGGAGCCCAAGGTGATGATGAAGCCGAGATTTCGCAAACGCCCTAAGATGACCACAAAAACGTTCACAGTTGGACATTCAATTATAATAATAATGCGCATTTTATATTTATAAAGCGCACAGATCCCCAGTACAGGTCTCTTTCAAGTGACGTCACTTCCTACAGCTTGCCACATGCATCGGCATTTTGGCCGTCAAATTTTCGTGATGCGCATCGCCCGCACCGTATTTCAACCAAATTTCTATCAACGCGCACGCATGTTTAGAATATTTTTAACTGCACGTAAACGCTCCTGATGGCATTGGATACACAGTTGCGATTTCCCTACAGAGATGACGTCCTATGAGAGGGATCTATTGGCGCTCAAGGCGTTACATAATAATGTTATTAAAATTATTACCGAGAATGGGTCATTTGGGAGACATTCCCATAGACTTGTGCACAAAATTTTCCAAACTTAAATGTGCCCTAACCCAATATTCCCTTGTCCTTTTTCCACAAATATCGGTATTTTTACTAATTAGACCACGAGCAACAAATATATAAACCTGATTGCGACAGTAAAACTTTGCCTCTAAAGGGGGGCTGTGGAATTAGGGAGACATGAAAATGTCTCCCTAATGACCAGTGTCTCCCTATTGTCGAAGAAATTACGATAACGTGTCTCCCTAATGGTACATTTGTGGAAATAAATGTTATCATTACATGTATAAGTGTTTAGTTACTACAATGATTATGTTTTGACATACCTCTGTGATTAATATTTAACATGCGTGCACTATGTTTCACATGTCACGTGTGCAATTACATATGACGCACCCCATCTGGAATACATGTACATTATATACAGTGTATTGTGGCACTGGTCTGGTGAGACGCACTTCGGCACTTGTTTTTGCTCATGTGCCCAGTGGGCAGGGCGTCCTAACCATCCTCACTCCTCCAAAATCCTCCTGGCGGTTTTGGAGGATTCTAAAGGATTGAGGATGAATGGTGATTGAATCACATGAGGATTTGAGGATGAATGGTGATTGAAGCATAGGAGGATTTTGGAGGATTGAGGATGAATGGTGATTGAAGCATAGGAGGATTTTGGAGGATTGAGGATGAATGGTGTTTGAAGATGAGGACGATTTTGGAGGATTGAGGATGAATGCATTTTGAGGCAGGACTGTCTGATGATTTGGAAGGATTTAGGCATTGGTTATCCTTCATTTAAACACGATTGCAAAATTTTAGGATGAGGAGGATTTTGAAGGATTGGCGATGAATGCATTTTGAGGCAGGATTGTCTGCTGATTTTGAAAGATTTAGGTGCTGTGGCAAAATTTTGGAGGATTGAGGATGGTTCTTAGCAAAAAGGGCCTAGGGGGTTAGGTTTAATGGATGGGTCTCTACATTCTGTAAGCTACGCACCTTGTCTGGACTGACTTTGTCAAAAAGCTTCAGCACTCCCAAGACTCGCTCCTCAATCTGTGAAAACGTTAGGTCGGGTAGCTCGGCATAATGGCGGACACCTTGGATTGCGCTTGGCCTAAATACTTGGATCTGCAGACAGAAGGGTATAAATAATGCACACATTATTTTTGAAGGGGGAGAAAATGGCTCTCATTACAGCAGACGTAACATGTGTTTCAAATGGTTATGGATTTGTCCAAAATTTGGGACTCTCAATACTGTGTATGAGAGTCCCAAAACTTGAGGTACTGAAAACATGCAATACAAGAAAATAGACTGACATCTGAAACAACCAGTCCAGCAACTCTTCAGTACTGCATCAATCAACTGTCAGCTGACTGTGCCAAAAGAAATATCTAGAATGTCGGGTACTACATGTAGGTCACAATTTCTACACATTTCTCCACAGTCACGCACCAGACTAACAACAATGAACGAAGAAGTCAATCTTGTCAAACAGTTGGACCATATAGATGGACATGTTCAAGTTTAGTCTTCAGCTTCATTTTGAAATCACTTGACTTTCCTCTCATGTGCAAGCCGCTGCCAAATATTGAAGAAAAGTCTCCTTCAATCTCTTCAAACTTTGGTGGTGAAATAATGAGGACCTTTTTCTTTGCCCAAGTCCCAGTCTGGTGGTATTTTGGTGTTGGGGAACATAGGTATGCACCCGGTCACACTACCAGCATGCATTGGGCGTTAGCACTACCATGTTGGAATTTTAATAGTTACACTAAATCCTGTGCAAACAAGCCTCAAAATTTGCTCTGGAAATGACATGAAAGGTAGATATCTGAGGAAATGCCAATTTGTTTTTATTGCTAGTAACAAGGTGAGTGTGCTTCAAAAGCATAAATAAACTAAAAGCAAAGTGTGAATGTGAAAATCACAAAAAAATTAATTCTCCTTGTCACTCCAGCAGTCCTTCTGTTATTTACGGCATAATTATACTCCATAATTTCAAATTACGTCGGTGAAGAGAAAACGGCTTTATTGTAAACCAAGATGAATATTATGAAAAAAAATACTAGATTGTTCAGTCCCAGCTTGGACCATCGCCAGTGGGTTCAATTTTCGTCTGGTGCCTTGTCGTGAAAAGCACTCGTGGAAAGCAAGACAACGCACCAGACGAAAATTGAACCCACTAGCGGCGCTTGAAAGCGGTGTGGTACCCACATACATCCCGCACATTTTTTTCGGTAATCATCACATGATACATTTTATTTGCATAATTAACTAAACAAGATGGATGACAGCCATTGGAACTAGACGCCGAAATTGTCAAAAATTTTCACATTTTAGTTTTTTTGGTTCTGTTTCAAGTTGATCATTAGCATCATGAATGACTGCTGAAAAGTGGAGGTACAAAAAATGTATCCTCGAGAGACCAGTTTTCGCGGGTATAGGGCTTTTTCTTTGTTTTGAAAAAAATTAACAAGTGCAAGATACCAATGGATGTCCTATTTACCTTCCTTAGTTCATGGGCAATATGCAAACAACAATAAAAACTGGACGACCTTCGCAGTTTTCACACAACGGAACGATCTCCGACGTCCTCGCGAAGCGCCTCCACGCGTCGAGCGTGACCTATTTCCGTGGGTTGCGGGGGGTACGGTGTCCCGGTAAAGTCATACGTGGAATAAATGTATGTCATGACTCGGCGTGTCTCCATCAGGCTCCATTGTCGGTAGCTATCTTATATTTTCCAAAAATCAACCTTCTATACTTCGAAAATATATCATATGGTATTAAAGCTATAAATTTCAAATGAAAAATAAATAAATGACATTTTACATATTTTTCTTTGCTTTTCTACTTTCAGGTTTTCTTGAGTGGTCGTGTTTTATTTTTAATTGTAGCCTATTTCTTATTAAACCTAAACCTCTGTAAATCATAGCTGACCTCATTTGACCTTCGACCTTTGACATGAAATATATCCTACATCATCTTTGGTACTTAATTAGGTCAATTTTTCATGTAAATTCAGACGAATAGGCCTACTTAGGTAACGAGAGTAATTAAAAAAACATTAAATAAACTTTAACATACATGTACGAACACAACGGTCACAGGAAATGTTAGGACTGGTGTCTCCCGAAACATTCGTTTGGGCAACACAAAACTTCAATCGGCAAACTTGTAAATGTAATTTATAAATGGGCAATTGAAATGTATCGTTTCGAGTTTCCTGCCTGGAATATGATCGACTTAACGTACATTCAGTGATCTTGCCTTTGGGGGGGGGGGGGATTTGCCGGGAAAAAAAAACGATTGCTGAAATGGGAAGTTACCTATTTTTACTAAAAAGTTGGAAATGAAAGCAGTTATCCCCAATGGACCCCTACACATATCCCCACTTTTGAAATATTAAAAAGGTTTCCAGCTGGGGTCTTTATTTGTTTTCTTTTTTATGACGATAATTTCTCCTCTTGCGGGCCAACCTCCGATACTTGGGGGAAATCCCCTTCTTTTGTTGCTGGGTTAGAGGTGCACTTGTTTAGAGCTCTAGCCGGAGCGTACATGGCACGATCAACGACACCACTATTCAAAGGGTAAATCCCTCCTTTCTTGAAAGAGCTCCTTAAGTTCTCTGGAGAGAGGGCCTTTGTATATGCATTGCATGCAATCTCACAGACTGAATATCTATCAATCCCTGTCGTTGAGTTGGCTCGCATTTGTCGGTGGCAGAGGGAATTATATATCTTCTCAAATGGCCCAAAGCATGCTAGATCAAGTGGCTGTAGGACGTGACTTGTATGTGCAGGCAAGACAAAGAGCAAGATGTGTTGATCTCTTGCCCAGTCAATCAGTGGTAGGTTGATGTGAGATCGATGACCATCATAGAGAAGGAGTATTGGCTCATCTTCCGTTCGGCTCGCAGTGACATATTTCAAGAAGTGTGTTGAAAGGTATGTCATGAAGACAGCAGTATTCGACCAACCACTTTCGCTGACGGTCCCATCTGTTCCAGGTAAGCAGCCATTGAGTAGCTCCTGCCTCATACGTTGTCCTGGGAATACAAAGTATGGAGGTACTTGCTGACCCAGAGCATTCCCAGCACCGATGATGGTAACGGTCATCCCTCTGCCGCTTGTCACAGCAAGTGGGGTGGATGAGGAGGACGATCCAACGATGAAAGGTGGGGAATGGTTTTGTTTCAGACCCTTTTCGTCAACATTGAAGATGTGTTCAGGTGCATCCTTCAATTTGTATTTTGTCAGCATCTCATCGAGCTTGGCGAAGTATGCCATCACTACTTCTTCAGAGGTTGCCTTCGCTCTGTACAGATCCAGGCTGCGTGGCTTCTTGACACTCAGCTCAGGCCATCTGGTCATAAAGTTGCGAAAGCATTTGAGGCTGAGTGGATGATCTTCGTCCCTTTTGTTGAGACTGACAGCATATATTGTGGCTGTATCGATAACTTCGGCCCTGCTATATCCATAACCCAGTAGCGCCATCTTCTTCAGGTGGTCCACCAAGTTGTTCTCCTCTTCGAGGCTGAACACAGGAGCTGGTCCCGATCTTGTTGCTTCGGGGTCAACCTTCCCCAGAACACGATCCCGTAATGTGGACTCAGGGACCCCGTACCTCCTCGCAGCACCCCCAACTGACCCATTCTCATCAATCACGAGACAAAATGCTTTTGACAAAGCTGTTGGTGAGTAGTTTCTGTAAGAAGTTGTTCTGGATTGCAACAGAGGGCTTGTGCACATGTTCTATAGGATAAGAACATTTATATAGATTTTGCTATTGGTGTCACATAATCAGTTGCTCATAAAACTAGTTAATATAATATTTTAATATAATATAATATTTTATTAATAATCTTCTTTTTATCAGATATAAATCAACCTTTGTTGTGCATTATTGTTGAGTTTGGAGTAATTATTTAAGTATTTATTTAAGTAGGCCTATATCATTCATTTTACTCTGATAATGTATAGTCTTATTAAAGAAAGCACAACACACGCTCTTTTCATGAACAAATGTATATTTTTAATATCTCACATGCACATTAATAACCGTCTTATACAAAATAAGCCTTTGCTGTATGTTAATTCATTCCTTCATTTTGAGGAAAATACCGATTTTTCTAGACAGTGAGAAAAATGATATAAGCCACATGTCTTTTATAGGCCTCCATACTTTTTTCCCAGCATGCTCGGCACTCAAACCAGTCACGTGATTTTGATCATTACAAATTTTTTTTCGAAACTTTGTAAGCTGAAACTTTCAATGATTATGCAATAATTATTTATGGCTCTAGCAATATAAACATGTTTTGTACCTTGCGAATTAGGCCTAAATAACCCAAATTTTGATATTTACAAGTACAACTTACCGGTAGAGCCTTTACTTTCCACATTTTTGGGTCAGCGGAGAGGAGAGGAGATCGTCAGCAACTAGAAAAGTTTATTTCGTCACGGGGAGTTGTTTACAGCGCGCCGCGTAACGCAGAAGGTGAGGACGCGGAAATAGGGCACCGCGAAAACAGGTCCTCCCACGATACATGTATGGCCTAGCCCGACTGCGTCTGGCCGTACAGTACTATCGCAAGCTCTGTAGTACGGCCAGACGCCCGATGCTTCCACAGAGACTGAATTTTGTTGGCCGCCGATGTAGCGATTTTGCTACATCTTTCGATCGCGATTATCTTTTCATCCAGGACACAAATTCCCAAAGTTAAGGTTCGTAGTCGTAGAGCAACTCATACCTTTTCGAAAAAACGTTCTTTGGTCTCAATATTTTCATCCATCTGGCCACAAGACAAATTTCAGTCATCAGATTCCACAAATATCGTCCCCTATGCGATCCCCCATGCGATTTCAAAATGGCGGCCGCGCTGTAATGTATGCAATATGCAGGCGCGCCCGCGCAAACTCATGAATATGCATAAACAGTCTGTGACGTAGACTTCGTGTTTTTGGGCGTGCGGGGCCGCACGCACGCACGTCCAAAAACACGAGGTCATACGTCACAGACTGTTTATGCATATTCATGAGTTTGCGCGGGCGCGCCTGCATATTGCATACATTACAGCGCGGCCGCCATTTTGAAATCGCATGGGGGATCGCATGGGGGACGATATTTGTGGAATCTTGATGACTGAAATTCGTCTTGTGGCCAGATGGATGAAAATATTGAGACCAAAGAACGTTTTTTCGAAAAGGTATGAGTTGCTCTACGACTACGAACCTTAACTTTGGAAATTTGTGTCCTGGATGAAAAGATAATCGCGATCGAAAGATGTAGCAAAATCGCTACATCGGCGGCCAACAAAATTCAGTCTCTGTGGAAGCATCGGGCGTCTGGCCGTACTACAGAGCTTGCGATAGTACTGTACGGCCAGACGCAGTCGGGCTAATGTATGGCCATGGAATCTGGGCATGCCAGGGTGGGATTATGAGGTGAAAATGGACCATTTTGGGAAGGCCCTTTTTTTAGGGTCTCTTACGACCACGTTCTCACGCCGTGGTTACATTTGTATGTCTCCAGCGTTACATGTGAATTCCTGATGAGCTTGTTATCCCAATCCCAATGAATGGAGCTTTACGTTCATCCGTGTTCACTTTATATACTGTAGCCTAGACAGACATGACAATTGACAGAGTAACCCTCGGCCTACATCATCGATCTGACCATGGAGCTATAAAAAGGATAGCTCCATGATCTGACTGAAATTAAACCGTACATAACGCGCGCGCGCACGGTCACGACGGTACGCCGGCTGGATGCATGCACATGACATGCCCGATGCTACGGCGCGCGCCGCGCCGGGGAATAAATCGTCTAGGCTAAAACTAGTACCTGCGTACGTACCTCTGAAACACCTTTAAAACATGAGAAATGTCTACTCCGGACTATTTGTGCTGAACAGCATCCGTTCTTCAAAACTGACGATGCCGCCACTCTGCAAACTGTACTCCTGAAATTATGCAATTGAGCAAAACTTCGCAGGTTCGCCAAAGCAGACACACGACCGATGGCAGCCATTTTGATTTGTAAAAGTTAGATATCCCGTCATGCATTGGAAATAACTTGGCTGGTTTCCGAACATTTTTATGGACTCCGCGTTCAGATTTTGTCGGATACCATTTTCATACCGCGTGTTTTACATTAGTTTTTAATACCATTTAGATCCCTAAAACCTGCAATTTCCCAAATTTTATAATGTAATGAATGTTTACATCGATTTTGGTCAGCTTGGATTGAAACTGAAGGAAAAATCACTGCGCGAATATAAACGCCACGCATGTATAAATCAATTATTTTCTCCTGTATAAATGCCTACGGCCATACTACGTTGAATACACCGGTTCTCGTCCGATCACCGAAGTTAAGCAACGTCGGGCTCGGATAGTACTTGGATGGGAGACCGCCTGGGAATACCGGGTGTTGTAGGCTTTTTGTTTTCGATTTGGAGTATTTTTTTTTTACGACACATACCTTTCTTACAATCAACAAATATTTACATATTTTTAAGCTTTGACAGGGTGCTAGCTAAGGCGTGATAATTTTCTTAAATCCTTCCTCCATGATAAACCCAAAACAATCATTACAACAAATTAAAAAATATATATAACACTGAAAACACTGCAAGACAGCACTAAGCCCTTTTTGCTGAAAAGCAAACTGAATTCAGTTCTTTTCAGTAGCTCGATCGTCAAGCTTGATAAACACATGATAGTGAGCAAAATGTTGCCCTCCCCCCACCCCTTAAAAGTTTATACCCTAATTAACACTCTATTTTTAATGAAAACTGTGCTGCTGTTTTTAACGAGCTGTGAAATTGTTATACTTTTTTTTACATAAATATCGATGCCTCTGAATGGTGGGTAAAATAATGAGACAGTCTTTTTGGCCAAACTTTTTAACCTACATCTCAAACTTTTTAACCATTTTCTAAAATGATATTTCCTGACAACTGGGGGCGCTGTTGGGATTTCACGGTATGCACCGTACCCATTGATCTCCATACACAGTCTGTGTATATGGAGATCAATGACCGTACCCATGACCGTACCAAATATCCTATATAGGTTACAGACTATGGCGTGTCAAACGTTGCAATATTCAATATTTTGCAATATATATGTTGGATGTTCAATATCTTTTACATTTATGTACGATGTTCAATATAAGTGTGCGATGTTTTTCATTATCTGCGCGATGTTTAATATATTTGTGCGATGTTTTACAATATATATGCAATTTTCAATTTATATGTGCGATGTTTTTGACGATATATCCCTTACAGAAATGTCCCATGTAATTCCCATGGGAAATTTTCCCATGGGACCCCATGGGAATTGCATGGTGAATTGGACACCATGTAGCATGGGATTTTTTCCATGGGAGTTTTCCCATTGGCTTTTTCCCATGGGAAATTTTATATGGGTTTTTTCCCATGTATGGTTTCCTTTCATTTCTCAAAAAAAATTATTGCTCCATGGTAATTTTCAATAACAACTTACTATACATTTTAACACTGTGTATTAAGTGCTATTCACCAAATAGGTAAAGCACATCACGGAACTCCGATGGGGGTTGTTCCAGGTTGTAGGAGTGGCTTGTGCACTCTATGTACAAAGTTTACATTATTGCTCCCATACCACTTGTCAAGTTGTACCATATTATCACAGTGTTCCCAATTTATTTTCTCATAAATGTTTCCAACCATAATAATAAATGAATCAATATTATCCAAAGTTTGAATGACACATTGTCCACATAAAAAAATACTGTATGCATCATTTAACTTCACTTATCACCAGAAAAATTCAAAAATGTGCAATTACAACACTCGTTATTGTAAGAGATTCTCACAAAAATGTCCCATGGTGGTCCCATGGTGTCCCATGGTGTTCCCATGGTGTCCCATGGTGTTTATCCCATTGTGTTCAATTGGTGAACATCCACAGGAGTTTCCCATGGTCAGCTTAACAAATATAATTCTTGATAACCTCTATGACCAAAGGGAAATATTTTTAATTGGATTCAAATTTACAGCTAGGCGAATAAGTAATTAAATCAAAAAAAGGTTTGCCTATAACTTGGGAGTGCAATTGGGTCTATGATGGTTTTTCATGGCACATGCATGTTCTCCAGTATAACCCGGCAGTGGCCCCCGTGCTGCCTTTTAAATCTCCATGGTGTTCCCATTGTATCCATAATTCATATCACCCACATTATGGTGTTCCCATGGCGTCCGAATCCTCGTGGTGTACCCATGTGTCTAAAATCCCCATATCCTCATGGTGTACCCATGTGTCTAAAATCCCCATGATGTTCCCATGGTGTCCAGTAAATCCCCATGGTGTTCCCATGGTGACATACAATCCCAATGGTGTTCCCATGGTGTCCATAAAATCCCCATGGTGTTCCCATGGTGTCCATAAAATCGCCATGGGGTTCCCATGGTGTTCCCATGGTGTCCATAAATTCCCATGATGTTCCCATGGTGTTCATTAATTCCACATGGTGTTCCCATGATGTCCATAAAATCGCCATGGTGTTCCCATGGTGTCCGTAAAATCCCCATGGTGTTCCCATGGAGCTCATAAAATCCCCATGGTGTTCCCATGTTGTCCATGCAATCTCCATGGTGTTCCCATGGGTTTCCCATGATGATCATTTTAACTTACATGGTGTTCTTGATGACCCCATGGGTTTCCCATGGGGTCCCATGGGAATCCCATGGGACCCCATGGGAATCCCATGGGATGCTCATGGGACATTTCTGTAAGGGATATGTGCGATGTTTTCAATATTATGTTCGATTTTTTGCATTAAATGTGCGATGTTTTTCGATACAATTGGGTGTGTTGTTTTACAATATATTGGCGATATTCTCAAATATGTGAGCAATGTTTTACACATATGTTTGACATTTCGAGCTATTTGTATTCGATGTTTCATCGGTATGTTTGCATTCGATCTTTTACAATATGCATTTGATGTTTCCCTTTTCATTCGATGTTTCGTTAAAAGTCAAAGTCTGGTTACTAGACCGCGAAAGTCTGACTATTTTGCCTAAAGTCAGTGTATGAGACGTCAGGGGATCGCGTAAAGTGATTAGAGCCAGGCCTAAACGGTAAAAACCGGAATTGTTGGTAATTCGAAGCATACGCAATGCGTTCATCATTGTTTGGGCAGTACCCCCAGCTGTGCCTGTACTACCCATAGTGTTATGTGCATCATCTATGCATTGAGGAGTGCATGACGCATGGTCTGAGCTCCAAGGCCGATGTGCACCTGTCCCGTTTAATGATCCAGTTACCTGATAATTTGTAAGAGGTGTATCTTGTATATTTAGTAAAATTTGGCAAAATCAGATTTGTATGAAAAATCTAAAATGGTAAGGGGTTAACCTTGCTTTTTCAGCAAAATTTGGAGCATATTTTACTAAAATTGGGCAAAATCAGATGCTTCTAAAAAATCCAGATGTAAAGTTTCCGCAAAAACAGCGGTTGAAAAAGAACCCAATGTTGAACTTTACTGAATCTGAGGTCTATCGAGGGGACGATCCTTATTTCAACTCCCAGAGATTCGGTGACAGTCTCTATTTTTCTTTTTAAGAAAGTCGAAATAGCTGAAGCGAGGTGAGAATCTATATGTGCCCAGATACAAAGAGTACTGCGTCTGCCTTTTGAAAATGCACAATTGCAGTGTTCATTGTTGCGTAATGATCCGCCTAGCACACGACCGTTTTGCACATTAGGCTGTGTTATGCAGATTCCTAACAAACCAAACACACTGTGCTCATTATATCGACTTGTTTTTACCCATTAAGGTAAAGCAAATGGACCCAGTAATCTTCCTGGCGCGTTTGCTCACCTATAAAGACAACTTTTCTCTGTTTAAGGAAAATTCTAAGGTAACGAAATGGCCGAGTGGTTACGATTCGTCGTCCACGGTTAGCGGGGTCCCGGGTTCGAATCCCGCTGGTGTCTTTTTGGCTTTTAACGGATGAGTTCAATTATTCACTATAAGAGATTTAATTTCCCGTCGTAACGTACCAACAGTACCTTAGCTTAATCGGTAAGCACTGCTGCTGGTACTGTCCGCGAGTTCCAGGTTGGCGCCTTCGTACAGGTTCAGGGCATGTGGTTCACTCGGAGGATCAGGGCTTAGGGGCCGCCCTGTTCCTCCCTTAGCTCTTTGCTTTTACATGGTGCCTGGCCCTCCGGGGTTATATGGATGGATAGGGAAGGAAGTGTGTATTGGTCGGGGACGCCGAGACCCCGGAAGAGAACTAAGGGATCGGCTGGGGCATTGTTATGGCTCAGACCGATCCCTGAAAGCTTGACTAGCACATAACTTTTTGATTTTTTTTGACCCTCTATCTTTTATACTTTGGTTTAGTTTGATATCTACAGCTGCTCGGCAGGTCTACGGGTAGTATCAAAATTGAAACAAAGGTGTATGTCATAAATCAATGAATATTTCATAATTGACTATAATCAAAACGGAGTTTCGTTTGATCAATTTGACTATCATTATATAATGACGCGATTGCCAATTGACGTAAGAAACGCCATAAATTATTCCGGGAAAGAATAAAGATGTACATTGTAATATAAATATTATTTATACATCTTTCAAATAACGTGTCTTTAATTGTGAGCATTCCAAACAATACAGTATTTCGCAAAAGTAATAGAATGGTATATGATAGCACGATCAATGCGTCTCTATTAAATTTAAAAAAATATAATTTAGGCCCCTATGTGTGAAATATTCTTTGATTGACTATGAGCATTCAATACGAATGAGTTAATTCGCAAAATATAGCAACAACAAAAGAGAAAGGAAAAAGAGAAAATTCCTTTACCCTAAAAACTGGAAATATAATTTGTTTTAAAAAAGTCAAATGGGACACTTCATGTATTGATTTAACAGTTTGCAAGGAGTTAGCCTTACATTTTAGCAAAATTGGGAAAAATCAGATGTTTCTGGAAAATTGCAGCTTGTAAGGGGTTAACCTTGCATTTTTAGTAAAATTAATTTAGATGTTTAT